TATCAATTGAGCTCAGTTTAAACTCGTCACAAAGGGGAAGAATTGTCCTTTCAATTGAAAAATAAAATAATTTCATTTCACGAACAATTCAACACGTCATGAACATTTAAAAAAATGTCAAGAGTGTCCATTTTACCCCACTCTTCCCTAATTTTTTTTTGTAATCTAATGTATTTTTCCATGGCTCCCAAGGAATTTTGTAGTGTAGTCTTTTTCCAATAAAGACAAAGTTAGCAGGAAAGAGAATCCAATGTTCTACAATTTTTTTCTTCTCATTTTAGGTTATGCAGATCCGATTAAGCTTAAAATCAGAAAAATATATCGGTAAAACAAGAAAATAAAAACTTGCAAATTCAATTTTCCATTGGCACAAACTTATTTCAAATTTTCCTCAAATCTCTTCACCTTGTTTTCCTTTCATTTCAAACTGAACAAAAAGAATCTAAATTAAGAGAATAAAATTTTTCCGCAGAGCGAGAGAGGTTGGAAAATTCAACTGAAAACTAAAGAAGAAAATTGTAGAGAGTGTGAGACAACTTAAACAGCACCTGGCAAGTACCTCTGGGGTAAGTAGGGGCAAGTAATAATTGAGTCAGACTTGGTACAGTCCGCTTCGTAACTCGTACGACTCAGTCGGTAAGGTGGATAGCGTGGGAAAATAGAGTGAGTGAGACAGAGTGAGCGGGGGGGCTAGGAGTTTTACCTTGGAAATTTTGGTTGTGAGTTGAATTTCTAAGTAGTGATGCTGGAGAAAACCCGTAGATACGTGCTTGCGTATATAACTGACTGTTTCTTGTGTTTCTGCATCCACGGAGAGTGCCAACTGGCCCTCAACTTTCGTGAGAATTGCCAACAGATGATGTGAATTAGGGATAAGGAAAATACGGAAACAAGGTTTTACTCTAAAAATCGATAAAAAATACTTGACTAACGAAATTTATATATCCGTCTGGTGCACTGGAAAGCTCGGGAAATTTCCGGTTCCAAAGCCTGGTCATAAGTTCAATTTGCCCCACTATTTCCCGAGATCTCGGCAAAAGCGTTTCTCACGAAAAAAAAAATCGTTTTTTAAAAATTGTCTTAGGGTTTTTCTACCGCTTTTCCCTAACTCATAGCCTTAGCTTTGAATCACACAAGTCCATGTTAGAGATCGATCATAAACTTCATATATATGCATGTAAAAGCCAGCGGGCTGATGAGGCTGCGACAAATGAAAATGTAAATAGACATTGTAAATACACATTGTACAGTCACGTTGAATAAAAATCTTAAATGCTAAAAAATATTTTTTTTATCTTCAGTGTTTAGAGACGAAAATTTTCCCTGCTATACGATGGGGTCATTTTCGACCCCAGTCCCGAAGAATGTCATTTTCGAAAATTTATTTTCCCTCGTTTTACTCACTTTTTCCGTTTGTTTCGTGAGAAATAAGGGGTGGTGATGGATAAACCTAGGGTCGTGTGTGTTATTGCTACGTGGGAAGTAACTCCTCGTCAATAATTTAAGCCTAAGAACCTGAGTGATTTACCGGAACGTGTCTTGCGGTGGATATTTAGAATTCAGTCGATCCATCTTTACCGACCCTCCGCCGTTGTTTTTTTGGTGAACTCATGGTTTTTGAATTTTTCATTTTTTACGAACCCTCCTTTACCCTAAATTACTCTCACCCCTGCCATTTGTTAAAATTGAAAATTAATGTTCCATTGATCAGTGCCCAACTAATCGACACAAATAGAAACGTACAGATCTAATTAATTTGATGACAAAGACCCCTTCTCCCTCCCCCCCCCCCCCCCCCCCCCCCNGTGAGAAATAAGGGGTGGTGATGGATAAACCTAGGGTCGTGTGTGTTATTGCTACGTGGGAAGTAACTCCTCGTCAATAATTTAAGCCTAAGAACCTGAGTGATTTACCGGAACGTGTCTTGCGGTGGATATTTAGAATTCAGTCGATCCATCTTTACCGACCCTCCGCCGTTGTTTTTTTGGTGAACTCATGGTTTTTGAATTTTTCATTTTTTACGAACCCTCCTTTACCCTAAATTACTCTCACCCCTGCCATTTGTTAAAATTGAAAATTAATGTTCCATTGATCAGTGCCCAACTAATCGACACAAATAGAAACGTACAGATCTAATTAATTTGATGACAAAGACCCCTTCTCCCTCCCCCCCCTCCCACCGGAGGCCCCTCGAAATTTAATCAATGTGGGGTAGTCAATGAGTGACGAGAGAGGGTAGTACCTGGAAAACAAAAGGCCTAACTTGATAAGAACGTCAGAGTCGTGTCAGAAACTCTCGCCTTGAGACGTCTCCAGACTGCTCTTTCCGTGTTCTCCCATCCCCTTATCCAGCAGAAGGCAACTCAACTTTGTCCAACTGTCCAACTGTCCAAGAGTCCACTCCCCCAACTACCTCTCCAGCCTCCTCTCACCCATCTCTCGAATAATATCATTCCCAACTCAGGGAAAAAAAAAATTAATGAGATTTTTTTTTCGTTCTATTTTCTATTTTGCTCTAGTCTACTCTTATTTTACGCTTTCTGGGTGGAGGGGAGATTAATTTAGGTGAAGGAGGGGTAGTTGGAGTGTATCGAGGTCATTGTTAAGGAGCAGGGTTGATGACACATACCAATAAACTGGGGTGGCATCAGAAAAAAAACTACTTGTTGTAAATATCCGCATTTTCAAAACCTTGAGTATGACATTTTCTTAAATCGCTCCTAATCGTTCACAATTGGATATCTTCGTGAATGTTTAGACGAATTTAGGGTTTGACGGCTCAAAATATTCGGGCATCTTGCCCTTTTGTTTCCACCCAATCCAGTTCTTTATAATTAAATGAAAAATACGAGTTTTCAAATTTTTCCAAAAAGTACTCTAGAACTTGTATTGTACCGTCAACTGCATTTAAGTTTCCTGCACAAGTTTCCGGACATTTTACAATGATTTTATCACTTAGTTTTTGGTTCTACCTATTGATTATGTTGCATGGCACATTGTGTTTTCACCCTAAACCCACACCCCCCGACAATTTTCCCCCTCTCCCTCCCAGCCTCAATCCTTAAATTCCCACCTAAATATTTAACAAAAAAAAAATGAAGAAAAATTCTCAAAATCCCAGCATTACATGTTTACTGATTCCTTTTTCTCCCAACCATCGTCATTCGTGAATGGTATAACCGGTATAAACGATCGAGTGAAAGAAAAAAAAAGGGGGGAAAAAGAGGCAAGAAAAAGCCTTTCACGCCATCTGAATTGCAAATTTCATTTTCTTAATGGGACGACACTCTCGAGTACCCCTGGAAAACCTTCACGCGCTGCTCTCCTTTCCCCTTTCTCTCTCGCTCCCGCTCTTTTTAACATGTTTTTTTTATATCCTCGCACACTCCTTTAGAAAATTCAACGGCTTTTCTACTCCCACCTTGAACCCCCCCTTTCTCGCCTTTAGTTTGCATCGAAGAGTCGTTCTGTGATTGGTAAGAAAAGAGATGACAGAAAAAGAACGAGAAGAAGACGTTAACGAGAATTCTCTCATTTTTCGTTTCCCCCTTTAATTCTCTGTCTGGTTTATGAATTTTTAGGAGTGAATGGTGCTTTGAATTAAACAGGGCAAGACGTTGCGTGTCCTTATTTGTGGGGGTGAGAGGAAACTGTGATTTGTGAATTTGTCGCCAAGCGAATCAATGAATTGGTGGACATATACAATTGTGAGCGATTATGAGCAAATCAACGAAATTTAGAGCTACTGAATGTAATGCCTATTGATGCTATTCCCCTCCAAAATTCTCTCCATTTCAGATATGAAATATTGATGTAAAATGAGTTCTTGAGTACCTCGGAGACAAAATCGAAATCTTGTATTTCCTATTTAATAATAAAAGATAGGTTGGATGGATGCAAAAGGGGGATGGAAACATGTGGTCTTGATAAGAATCTCGGCGCAAGACTTTCAAACATTTTAAGACATTGAACATTCATTTTGCATAAAAATTCGCAGAGATACTCGATTGTGAGTGATTATGAGCGCATTAATAAAGTCAAATCAAAGTTCAGAAACTCTTGACAATAATCCTGCATTAGAAGGGAAGAATATCCATTATAAATGGTAAAACGTGATTTGTTTTATTGAGTAAATTCATTAAATTCTAGAAAGAGAAATTACAAAAAATAATTAACTTATTATTAATTAATTGAGATCAGGGAGTCCATCGAGGGTGAAGGACTTTGGGAGGTGGCTTCCGGGGGAGTCCATGCTGCGGGTTTCGAAGGATAGGAAGTCAGAGTCCATGAGAACGTTTGCCTGAGGGAGAATAACGGGAAAATATGGGAGAAATGGATTTTTGGTGCACATAGGCATGAACTGATACTTTTGGTGATATCTCGGAAATCAGCAGATCTGGCGAAAAATACCACAAGAAATTTTTTGTAGAGAAATAAATTCCCTACAAAAAGGTCTGTGATGTTTTTCAATAAAATTAACAGTTTCTGAGATGTCCTCAAATTTTGAAATAACACTGAGGAAAAATTTAGTTTTTACTTGAAGCAGATATTGATCCGAGATACTTCTATCCATATTTCGGCCCTCATCGGCCTCAGGAATAATAGGAAGGGATCGGGAGCTCGAGGGAATTGGTTTTAAGGTGCCCTTGAAAAAAAAAACAAAATAAATTCATTTGTACAAATTTATAATTCAATTACTTCAGTCAATTTCTATAATTCACATGAAAATTCTCAAAAATTTATTGCTCTGTACAATTCCCAATTTCAACCGTGAAAATATTATTCATGGAATATTTCAAGGATAACAATAAAACAAAATTATATGAATAAAATATAGCGCAAACAAAAAAGCCTAACTATTAGAATCTACAAATTAATTGTTATGATTGCAATTAAATTTTTAACGACTTAATCATGCAATTATCAAGTTTATGAAGGAATGGCTGAAAATATTTGTTTAAAGACAACAAATTCACCTTTAAAAGGACCAAATTAACGACCTAATTATCAAGTAAATTGAGCCCACTGAGATACGCATAGGTAAAGTCATTATCCTCTTGATCAAAATACCCATTACCCGAAAAACCCCTAAATACCTCGGATTTGTCGTCCCTCTCTTGATTATCCTCGTACATCCTCTTTCCAAAAACTCTAATTCCACTCATCTGATAATTTCCATCGATATCACCATTGTACGGACAATATCCATTACCAATGCCCCTCAATCCCTGATCATAGGGATTAAATATCTTGATGTCGTGATATTGCGATGCAGCCTCGAACTCTTGATACTTTGGCCCAAGTGCTTTAGTCTCAGCGAAACTTGGCAATGACCCAGTCTCGAGCTTCGTCGAGCTGTAAGGGAGGCCCAGTGACCTCATATCGGGGGTCATTGTACTCATGTGTGACTGGACGTCATTCATGACATCGTCAAAGTCCTGCAGTCTCATTCTACCCTCCTCGAGGTAATTGTTGTCAACACCGAGAATGTTGAAGTCTTCTGGCGGTAGGCGCGGGGCTTTCAGATAGGTAAAGGTGTCTTGGGGGGGACAAGGGGGCGGGTGAGGGGTCGAGAGGTCCGGCTGGTGGTGGAGGAGACTCGACAAGTCGTGGGGTACTATTACTGAGGACAATTCAAAGGGTTTATGAGGTTTTGGAGGAGTTTTAGGAAATAAGAGGTTAAGGATTTTCTACACCCTTTCTGCCAAAATTCACTTTTTTTAAATTTTTCTGGCAAACTTATGATGGAATTGACGTGAAAAAATATAACGTTTTTGCGTTTTGTCATTATTTAATGACTGACGAAATTTTAAGGTGGTGCGAACATTTTCCTGCGTTTTCTCTAAACTTTTAAAAAGAATCACAAAACTGTAGAAAAAACGCATGAAAATTATCGCACCACTACGCAACTTCGTGAGCCATTAAAGAATGACAAACCACAAAATCGTTATATTTTTTCACGTCACTCCCATCGATAATTTGCCAGAAAAATGAAAACAACGTCAATTTTGGCTAAAAGGGTGTCGAACATCCTTAAAAATAAATTGAATTTTTTTGAAAATTCCTATTTTACGGAGAAATTAGAGTTTCCTTTTAGAAACTCATTCTCCGAAAGAATTTTTTTTTTAATCCAATTTTTGAAAAAAAATGTAGTTTTTAGTTTTGAAGAAATAAAATTTTTTTTTCAATTAAATTTTAGATTTTTTTTGTTGAATTTGATTTTTTTTCATCAATGTTAAAAGAAAACTTTTTTTTTGGAAAATCATTTATTTTCATTTTTCGAAAAAAATGAAAATTTTTCGAAATTCCGAAATTTTCCGAAAAAAGAACTGATCCAAAATTTGACTTTTCGTATAAATTCAAATCATTTCAAAAAATCAATTTCTCGGAAAAAAATCATTTTTTCAGAAGCTGAGATTTTTTAAAAAATCATCACTGCCATTGGCTTGAAAAAAAATAGAATTTTTGAATTATTTCCATTAAACCTGTAAAAAAAACTCAACATTCAACCAAAAAAGACATCATCACATCCCCAACCCCAGTGCGAAAGCCAATGTCCAAAGCAACTCACAGTCATCTTCACTGGGCAGTGGCATTCCCTCGAATCCCCCTCGCTGACCCATGATGAAATCATCGATCTTGGTTTGTCCGAAGAATCCCATTGCACCCGGGTCCAGTATCTCAATCGAGTCCAATGATTTCTGATTCGCTCCAACGTCCAGGACCATTATTTGATTGTCTTGATCACCAATAATGACGTCAGCGGTGGTAGAACGTGTATTGGCCTGCATGACGCTTATCGCATCGGCCTCAGGACCCTCAAGTATCGTCACATCATGGGAATTCTGTGCCATGAGATCACGTGCTTCACTGTTGCTCATTACCTCGTATCTACCGTCCTCGGTTGCACGAACAAATTGAATGCCACCCTGGGCTGCCAATTCTAGGAGTTCACTGCAATCTTCCATTGATGTACTTGTACTGGAGGTGTTTGATGGCTCGGGAGTGAACGGAATGGGTTTATCAACTTCTTCTTCCATCTTTGGTACCAAAAAATTCTCAACTAATAAGGGAAAAAATTGCAAAAAGTAAAAATGCCACTAATTTTGAGTTAAAATTTGTGGAACCATTCGATTGCGAGTGATTGTAAGCAAATTGATCGAATTCTGAGCGGCTCAAGGCAATATATGTTGATGCTATTCCTCACTACAATTCTTTTTACCAAAGATATCAAATGTTGAGTGCAGTTTATGGAGAAATATATATTCTTGAGTGTTTTCTATAAAAATCGAAATCTCGCATTTTTAATTTAATTTTGAAGAATATAATGGAGGGACGTGAAAAAGGAGATGGAAGCGTGCGGTCTGAGCAAACATCTTGGTGCAAGATACCCGAATATTTAAAGACGTCGAGCACACATTTCTTATAGAAATTCGCGGAGATATTCGATTGTGAGCAATTGTGAGTATTCAAGCTGCTCAATAAAATCCACATTGATGCTATTCCTTGCTAGAATTATTTTTACCACAGAAATCAATTATTGAGTGCAGTTTATGGAGAAATATAGATTCTTGACTGTTTTCTATAAAAATCGAAATCTCGTATTTTTAATTTTACTTTGAAGAATGGAATGGAGGGACGTGAAAAAAGAGGTGGAAGCGTGCGGTCTGAACAAACATGTTGGTGCTAGATCCCTGAATATTTAAAGGCGTCGAGCACTCATTTATCATAGAAATTCGCGAAGATATTCGATTGTGAGTAATTGTGAGCAGTTAAGCTACTCAAAAAAATCCATACTGATGCTATTTCTTGCCATCTTTGTGATTTGACATACCCTCCCGTCATATTCCCAATAAATTTGAATCACATTTGTCATCAATCCTGACCATCAACAATGATCCCTCAATTGTTCGAATATTTTACCATGATCTTCATTTGGATCAGGCGGCTCAACCGAAAAACTGAATTGCCCATCTGACTCGAGGGTTTGCGTTACAGTTGCCACAACAGATATCTTCATCTGTCCCTTTTCACCCTCGTAACTACCCCCCGGCGAACTCATCGTACCATTGACTCTCAAATCCTCGGGAGTGGCTGGAGTCAGCATCTGTCGAAGTAATCTCATTAAAACAAATTCTTATCACTTGGATTTGTTGCAACTTTTTTTTTGTCACAATGAATTCGTTTTTTCGAGGTGGATCGATTCTCTCGGTGCTTCTGTGACAATTTCTGCATTGAAAAGCTCGGGGGAGTCTGCTCTAATGAAAACGACAGTGACTACATCTTTTTTGAGCCGGCGGTTCGAACAAAATGAATGAAAAAAGAATTTGTGATGTCTCAAGGAGTTGCAGAGAGACCTTCCCTCGTATCTAATTGAATTGTAAATTTCCGGGCTTTCCACTGGCAGTTGAGAAGATAGACCCGCCTCTGTGACTCGATTTATTTTTTTGGTTTCAACGGAACATTTTTCACCAATTTTTTTTTTGAAATTTGAGTTTTCGTAAAAAACGCTTGATATTATTTTGCAAACATCTCGTAAACTGTGACATATATCGAAAAATTCTTCGAAAACTTTTTTGTAGGAAATTAGATTTTCCATAAAAAATATTCGATAGCATTTTTCCCTAAATCCACTCCTTCCCGAGATATCAATGAAAAATAAGCCATAGAAATTTTTTATTTTCAATTTTTGTTCTATAATAATCCTTACGTGTCTCCCATCGCCTGCATCTGTGACCTTGACAAGCACTGGAATTCCCCTGATAGGTTTAAAAAGTGCAAATGGCACCTGATTTCTCATGACAGCTGTTGCCATAGCCTTGGTAATGATTTTATCAACATAAAATGTCTCAATATTCTGTGTATCACGATTCTCCTTATCCTCGGTATCCATTGAATCCTCACTCGATAATTCAATGATTCTGAGATTTTTTTTATCTCCATTCCTCTCGTTTCCATTCTGTGACACCGAAGAATTGCGATATTTGATTCCATGCTTAGATTCCTCGTGTGAACGCAGGGAAAATCTACGTGGAAACTCTTTTCCACAGATACCACACGAGTACTGCATTCTCTCTGTGTGAGCGTGTGCCTTTACTTTGTGACACACGAGATTGGACATTTGATTGAAGCCTTTTCCACAGGTTTCACACTTGTATGGACGCTCGTTGGTATGGGTAAATACGTGGTTACGGAGATTCCCTGAATTTTTTTATTTTTGGGAAAAGGGAAAGGACTGGGATTTAGTGGAAGATTTGATTTTTCGTCATTTAGGAATTGTGAAAAGACGATTATGCAAATATTTTGTTAATTATTGATTCTAGGAGAAAATGTTTCAAAACATTTTTTGTAGAGAATTAAATTTTCCATAAAAAATGTTTTACGACTTTTTCTCGGAAATATACTCGTTATTGAGAACATTGGCAAAAACATCAACTCTGAATTTGACAAAAAATCAATCTCGAAATTTAGTTGATTGTTTTTGATAATTACAACACGAAAAATGTATCATGACATTTTCCCCGCCACTTACTTCTCAAGGAGATAATCTCATAATTACAAAAAAAAACAATTGCAAATGGAATTTTTTGTTAATTACAGAATAAAAATAAAATCCTCGTACCTTTTTGATGAAATCCCTTTCCACAGACGGGACACTTGTGTGGTTTATTCTCAGAGTGAGTTTTCCGGTGTGAGATCAAAGTTGAAACCCTAAAAAGGGGAGAAAAGCTTGAAAAAAAGAGAAATAACAAGACGAGAAAAAAAAGATTGTTTCTGGACGAATGGGACTGGGTTTTTTCCAGCACTCATTCACTCCATTCACTCATAATTGTTGAAAATACTGAAACCTGTTGAAAGTTTTTTTGCAGTATTCACAGACGTAGGGCCTGGCATCACTGTGAATGGCTTTGTGTTGACTGAGGGTTGAAAGTTGTCGGAATGCTTTGCCACAGGCGTCACACTTGAAATTTCTCTCATCAGTGTGGGTTGGCAAGTGCCTCATCAGGGTGTATTGGTGTCTAAATTCCTTGGAACCTGTCAGATTATTTAATTTTTGGTGAAAAAATTGAATGATTGCATTTTTTTAATCGAGTTGACAATTTTTTCGTGACGATTTTGTCAATGTAATTCAGAAAATGTATTAAGATAGTTTTTGCAGAGAATTAAATTCCCATATTATTTGACTTTGATGAAGACAATTTTTTCAATTAATTTTTGTAAAAAAAAAATTCACAAATTCCACACTTTCATATTTTAGGAAATTGAGAGGAACGAATGATTGAATTTTTATAGAATTAACAATTTTGTAAATATAACTCAGGAAATGTATTCAGATATTTTTTGCAGAGAATTAAATTCCCATATTATTTGACTTTGATGAAGACAATTTTTTCAATTGATTTTTGTCAAAAAATTCATAACTTCCATATTCTCATATTTTAGAAAATTGAGCGGAACGAATGATTGAATTTTTATAGGATCAGCAATTTTGTAAATATAACTCAGGAAACGTATTCAAATATTTTTTGTAGAGAATTAAATTCCCATATATTATTTCACTTTGATGAAGACAATTTTTTCAATTAATTTTTGTAAAAAAAAAATTCACAAATTCCACTTTTGCCATATTCTAGGAAATTGAGAGGAACGAATGATTGAATTTTTATAGAATTAACAATTTTATAAATATAACTCAGGAAATGTATTCAAATATTTTTTGCAGACAATTAAATTCTCATATGATTTTCAATTCTCGTAGTATAATATTTTTGTAAATATTTTGATACTAAGTTATTTCAAATGAAATTACGGGGATCGAATTATTTACATTTTATCTAATTAACTATTTTGTGAGTATAATTCAGAAAATGCATTCAGATATTTTTTTGCAAAAAATTAAACTCCCATATTTACTTATTTAATGACAAAATGAGTAGAAATTATTTATAGCTTGTGAAATTTTCTACGAAAAGTGCCTCATGATATTCGATAAAAAATTTTTTTTTATAAATTTCTGTTAAAACTCACAAATTAAGAAATTGAGAGGAGCGGCTTGACTGTTCGAATTAACAATTTTGTGGTAACAATTTTGTAAGTAGAATGCGGGAAATACTTTCACATATTTTTGCAGAGAATTAAATTCCCACAAAATATTCTGATACTGAGTCATTTTATGAAATTCTGTTCAATCAGCTTTTAAAATTCTCTATAAAAAATATCTCACGACATTTGATGAAACATTTTTTTAATGAATTTCTGTTAAAACTCACAAATTCCACATTCCCATATTTTAATCGTCTTTCCTTCCCTCTTCAGATACTTGACGAAATGAAGCCTCGACCTGGGATCATCTTTGTCTATGATTTGAGGAATACCAGTTGAATTTTCTCCATTTGTCTGAGAATAGGGGGTTTCACTCAAAGACTTCAATTTCTTCTCCTCAACCTGTTGTGTTTTGACATGAAACAAATGAGGATGTTAAGTAGAATTGAGTGGCTCACAGAACCAAGGGAATTTGTGAAACACTAGAGACGATTCCCTCTGTTCTTTCATTTCTTTTCTCTAATCTCAGATTGGAAATGCGTCTGGAACTAGTGAATCTAAAGGAAAATGTCAGTAAAATTCATCTCCAAAATCAAATTGAATGAATGCATTTAAATTTTAATTCATCAAAAAAAGTGTCACGACAATTAAGAAAATATCTCCTTAACAATTGATTTTAGGAGAAAATGTCATTTAACATTTTTTTTTGAGAATTAAATTTCGCATAAAAAATGTTTTATGACATTTTTTCGTTAATCTCTCCCCTTCAAAGTTGTGGATAATTCAATGTTCTCGTTTTGTTGATTTAATGAAGAATTTTTCCTCCTGTTATTAAATTTTTTTTCATCACCTTATTCTTCTTCTTATTGGTCTGCGAATCGATCGAGTTCTTGGCAAACATCTTGGCAGCACTTTTATCGCCATCAGCCACTTCTCCATTGAGGCCATCCTCCGGTATGCCAATGCCACCCTTTCAATATAATTCACCAATTAATTTTATGATAGGAATTAACAACTTGGGTAAATGAAAATGAATTAATTACGTTGATGAGGAGGTGATCATTATCAGGGAGCAGAGTGCCTGGCACCAGAGACAATCCACACTTTCCATCTTGTGATTCAGAGTCCTCTTTAACGTAAACTTCGTAAATGCTGCATGATTAAAAGTTGTCGAGGGTAAGTAACGTCGAAATTCAGGGAAAAAACGATTGGAAAAATGAGACATTGATATCCCGGAAGGTATTGGGTTTAGAAAAAAATGGTAAAGGACATATTTGTGGGGAATTTTGTGATTTACAAAAAATGTCTTATCATTTTTTCTCGTAAAACCACTCGTCAGCGAGATAGTTTTATTTATTTTCAAATTGATGAAAATTGGATTGTGAAGATTTTGTTAATGACTTTTGCTAGTTATCCCTCTCAGGAGTGGTTTTAAGAGAAAATATCATAAAACAGTTTTTGTAGAGAATTCAATTTTCTACAAAAAATGTCTTATCACATTTTCCCCTAGAGCCACTCATTCCCTAGATAATAATCAAAATAAATGACAAAATTTAAAAAAATCAAACAATCTGCAGATAATGTCTAAAAATCAATTTAAACCTCAGAAAATCCTCAACTGATAATTACCTGATAACCTCGTCTGGAATCGTGCGATTCACCTCTTGTCCATCCTCAAACTCATCATCCCCTAGAAAAAAAAAACAAAAAAACCTCAAAAAAACCCAAGACCAAAAGTAGTTTCATCAACATTTGTTGGTATGTATCTCCAACCCCTGGGCAAATTCAAAGGGCTCAGGATAACCTAATAGTAATCTTGAAGTGCATAATCCGAGGATCCAATGAAAAACTTTTTTATTACTCTCCACTTTCTTTTTATCCTCAACCCCCCTCAAATCTCCATCCTGCGGTGCGTTAAAGTCTCGAGACTCTTCTCAACTTCATCAACGCGTTGTCTATTTATTTTTACTAGTCTCGTGTCTAATAATTTTTCCATCTTCATAATAAAAAAAAAAGCCTGAACAAATGCAAGAAAAGCTGTTTTTTTTTCATCCAATAAAAAAAATTTATTCACCTGAAAACGCCCTTTAATTTTTTTTTTAAGCCCTGTGGGTTTTATTCCGAAAACAAAAAAGATATTTTCATATTCATTTATTATAAAATGAAATAAACAAATCAACGAGGATTACCCAGCCCTCGTATTTTTCTCCCCATCTAGAAATTAAATAAAGGAAAGACGCCATTCATTTTGTCAGAGTGATGATCCGACATTTTGTTCTGACAGTTTGTTTTTTCCCCGGGATTTTTGTTTTCGTAAATCAAGTTGTGATGATTGTTTGACATGGGGGAGAGGAGTCAAGAGGTAATTATGAGAGGAATTGTGCAACTTACAGGTATAGCTCTGTGGTGGATTAAATTGGGACATTTCCTTGGGATTAATTCGGGTTAGCGGGACGTTGGTGAATGGGGAATCAAGGTGGACTTCATTGACGTGCGACGACAGCGCCACTCGGTGAGACGGATCAACGAGGAAGTTTGAAAGCGGGGGGGGGGGGATCGAGGGGATTTAAAAATCGATTTTATGGGATTGATGATGATTACAGGAAGTTTTTTGTAAATATCTTTAGAGATTTTGTGGGGAAAAATGAAAAGAAATTCAATCATTTTCTTTTGGCATTCAAAATTCATATTTCGCAAATACTTTTTTTTTATTAAGAAATGATTTGAGAAGTTTACACTAAATTTCGAAATAATTTAAGATGACTTATTGAGTAGAAAAATGAAGAAAATTTCGCGAAATATCTCCTTTTTTTCAGAAAAAGAAACTTACCTGCGATCGAAACTTTTCAAAATATTTCAATTTCCTTGGAATAAAAATAAATTTGTTATTCTTAAAAAAAAATTAAATATTAATATTTAAAAATGTTTTCATAAAACGGATGCCTCGAATAACCTCGGAAAAAGTCCTCGCAGCCCAGCAAAAGTAGTGAAAAAAGTGAAAATGAAAAGGGAATAAGCGAGTGAGTGTCCCCCCTCCACTATTTTTCGTCCCTTCACCACTGAAACCTCGACTTTCGCCTTCTTATTTTGTCACAGGAGCCAACAAAAAATACCGGAAAAGGGAGGGGGGAGAAATGAAGAAAAAATCATAAAAATGAAGGGTAAAAAAAGGAGCTGCGGGGTGGAAGAGAGGGGGGGGGGAGGTAGATAGAGCCAACCTTTCATAACCTCGATCATCGTAGTTTGAAGATTTGCCGGGGCAAAACTCGACAGTATGAGAGTGGAGAGCCTGAGAATGGGAGGAAATGAAAGAGCTACCAGCTAGAACAAACATTCACCCCTTTTCATACTTGTATTCTCCTCCTCGTCCCACCCTCTTCATTCCTGTTCTTCTATCTGCCACCTTTCCTCTCATTCTGTGTTCTATCTCATGGCCATTTCCACGTTTTCACACCGGTGATCTTTAGAAATGAATCATAACTTTTTTTTTCCGACGAATTTATTCGGGGGGTTTAACTCCGTTAGATTATGTGAATGTGTGGTTCTGCTCACAACCACTCACAATCAAATATCTCCGTAAATTTTTAGGCGAAATGATTGCTCGATGTCTCAAAATCCTCAGGAATCTTGCGTCAAGATTTTCAGTCGGACCGCATGCTTCCATTTCTTTCTTTGCACCTGATTAACTCGCTCATAATCACTCACAATCGAATTTCTTCACAAATTTTCATGCAAAATTAATTTTGAATGTTTGATCACTCGCCCCAAATACTCCTCATATTGTACCTCAATTTCAAAAACTTTCTGATCCCGAAAACTTGAACCAAATTTCTACATTACACTCATGACTCTCCACCGCCTTTCACTCCGCTTGATCAGACCGAGAGTTAACCCCCTAACTTTCCTCTCAATCCTTAATACCTTCCCCGAGTGAAACTCACAAATAAAACTCCTGATTCTCTTCTAACCTAAAAAAGGCACACAACAAAAATATAAAAGAAGGGAATAAAATTGAGTCGTCGGGGTCCAGTGGACAAGTGAAAGGTAATTTTTGACACACGTTAGGTAACATTGTCCATTCTCCCTCCCCCCTACCCCTCACCCACCCTTTTGATTCACCTTTGGTAGTCCCTCAGTGCCACTACGTGACTGGAAAAGTCTCGAGGCGTTATTGATTATGAGCAATCGGAAAAACGACTACAACTATACGTACAGGGTGGTAAAATCGGTGGATAGGGGGAAGGTAGAAGGGGTTAAAGGGAACCTGGTGTACATGACCTCGGGTCCGGCGATAAAAATGACGATCATAGGTAGGTTATGGAAGGTTGGCGCTCATTTATACGACGTATGGTCCGCCCCGAGAAATGATGACCTTGATTTGTGCTTGTCCAGCAAATTTTTATGATATTGTGTGAATTTCTATCAAATTTGGTACTGAAAAAAACAAATTTACTCATGAGTTATTCGAGAAGAAGATATTCAGATAATTCTCCGACAATTATCCCCTAATCTCGATTGAAGGCGTTTCGAGGACAGATTATTATCTATACTTGAATGATTATGAATTATAAAAGAACAGATGTTCAGATCATTGGTGGAGAATTATCTACCGATCTAGATTAAATATGACCGAAAAACAGATTGTTATCTAGACTCATTTGAGGAAAAAGATAATTTGATTGCTCCAAGAGAGGTAATTATTCTACGGATACAGATGAGATAATTGTTGCGATCTTGTGAGGATGTAACTTCAGCATCTGGTCCAGCAGGTATTCATTTTCACTGCTTGATGATGACATTCTCAAATATTCATAAATGTCGAGAGTGGTATGAAATTGTGCGGAACAGTTCAATGTCGAAGTTTATAACCACAGGTGAATGAATATTATGGCCAGTGTGTACATCACGATTGTCCAACTATATCAATCACATCAGAAACCAGCCTGGGAGTGATACCACAATGGGGAGAACGCGCATCCGTTGGATTATTACCGAGGGACAATGAATTCAAGTGGATAGATCATATCTATATACATATTAATAGGTTTTGTCTTCTTCGATAGAAGATCAATTATTTCAATTATCTCAATTTTCTGAAACTCATTTTGAAAATTTGAAAAACTATCTGCACTATTTTTTCTGCATTAAAAAAATTAATCGAGAAATTGAAATGAGAAATTATCTAAAAATCATGAATTACGTAATTCATCTGAAAAAGTTGAGATAATTTTCAAGATGTTTCTTTAAAAAAATGAAATTCAAAAAATCCATCAAAATATGAACCAACAAATATCTGAAGGACCCACGAACTAGATAATATTCAGATAATTTTTAAGATAACGAAGATTTTTGCACAATTTCATTGAAAAAAAAATGGAAAAATTAACTGCTGTGAAAACATGAATATTCCCTCCCCCTTCCCCTATTTTACGATACAATCTGATACAAAAGTTCGTCTGGCATTTTCGGTAGACGCATCAGATAAATTTTCAATCGTGCAAAATTCTGAAAAGGACAGTCACTCCCATCCCTCATACCGAACAAGTTTAAAAATCGATGCTGTCTCGAGGGAGGGAGAGGGTTCGAAGGATGGGACAGGAGGTGTACAAGGGGAATCATCCCCCTACCCCCCAAAAAGGGGTAAAGGCCCCACATTGAATAGGGAAAAAGAACGTGAGCTTCTCCCCAAGTACAGGGTAGTCCTTGGTCTGGCAGGTACGTACATTCCTCAAGAAGAAGACAGAAAAAAAAGTAGAGAGAGGGAATGTGGAAGGTGGTTGCTTGTGCCTGCCACAGGGAAAGGTGGGCCACGGGGAAAAATTTCAAATGCAGCCCACGTAGACGCTAAAACGCCCCCATGATTCAATTCACATCAGCCCAACTTCCTCCCTCCTACCAACCTCTCACCCCTTCTTTTTAGTTGTGTTTTTTTTTATACTCTTTGAGTCTAGTTGTGTGCAGCCTCACTCCTACCTTCTCTCTCATCTTTCGCTTCTTGAAGACGTTTCCCTTGTGCGTCGGTATGATTTTTTTATCTGAATCAAACGCAGCAGAAGTTGGCACGGAAAATAGAGGGAGGGGGGGGGTATATATCTATATTTTTTTTCAATTGACAGGAATTGAAAGGATTGACTTCATTATTGAAGTTTAGTTCGATGTTCTTTGTAATTATATGGGGGGAGGGGTGGAATATAACGATCCATTTTGCCCCATTAATTTTTTCAAAGCGAAAGAAAAACGATTTTGGCTCAAACAAATAAAATTAGCTGTCACTCTGAATGAGGCTGCACACTGCTGTGACGAGTATCAACCGCAACCCGATCAAGTTTTATTTTTGTGTTGTATTTATTTATTCATTGTCAATATTTCAATTTGTTTGATTTGTAATGATTTAGAACATTGGAATGATAAAGAAACCCCTGATAAGGTCTTTCCTGGGGAACGAAACGTTGGGCCATCGTAAAGAATTCTTCAACTTCAACATCATTTCATAAAATTGCTGAAGACTGCTTAGGTTAACCGGTTGTCATCTGATTTTTGAAATAATTACAACGGTCAAAAAAGCCTATTCAAAAATAAAATTTATTATCTCGAAAAATATCTGAGATAATTGTCCCGTTTATTGTCGCCCCAAAAATACCGGTGATAAATCAAATAAATTGTCATAAAAAAAATCAAGAAACATGGCGTTGAATTCATAAACCCATTTGAACTCTTGACATTGTCGGTCCGTAAAACGAATATTGAAAATAAAAATGCCGAGAGAAATAGTGAGACCAGACGACCGGATAAAAACACGATTATTTAGATTTATTCAGAAGGAACCTTGGGTGGTGCGATATTTTTCAGTGGTACGAGAAGTGGTTAATACCGACAAGGCCCCTCGCATCCATCCTGACTACTTGAGAGTCAGGCCTCATTCGTAACTGCACCCCCCTCACGCCTAAAAAAATCACTCAAAAAGAAAATTTCCAACCGCTCAAGAAAATGTGTTCTCCCAATTCCCTCTCTCACTGCGATATCTCGAGAACAAATCGATTAAAATCCATCGTCAGCCTCTTTTTCGATAGCCGCAAGCCTCCCCTGACCCGCGAAACTAAAAAAAATCGAGGTAATAATTGAAATAATCCAAATGTCGACAGCTGTTTTCCGACAAGCCTAGAGTTTCAAAATGTTCTGATATTCAAAATGTACTTCACTTCTCACCCGTTAAAATTTAATTTGACTTATTAAAGTTGCCATCTGGATTCTCCACCGTGGGATCCCTCCATCCACTCCCCCCCCCCTCTCCCACTTTCCGGCGGCCAACAAAAAGACGAGAAAACGGCGGGAGATGTAGGGGATTTGAAGCCACAAGGCAGTTAGCTTCGTCAGTCGTAAAAACGTTCCTTCCGTGCATGGGGGTAAAAGATACAGAGAGGATGG